CCATTCTTCCTTATCATTGTCTATCCCATGGCAGGTGGTACCCGGAGGCTGGGAAACAAGACCTCTTAGACTCCTCGTCATAGACGCTTCTTGAACGATTTATCGAGCCACTCGGTCAGAACGGACCGGCATTACCTGCCGCGAATTTTCCAGCCAAACGAGTTTTCGGTATTCAACGAGAAAATGTCGCAGACACCCTCTCCCCGGATCAGATCGATGCAATCTTCTTTCTACCTGGAAATTCTCCTCTTTCGAGTGTCTCCTTACGGAACGAGAGAATTTCTTGATTAGTCGATCGCTACGACCTGTGGGGCCATATCTGAACGAGAATGAGATAATTTCTTTCGTTTCTTCTTTTGTCGCGGAAGCCCGGGAAGGTCATTACGAATCGCAATAAAATTTGCAAAACTGTGTAAATCATGGATGCTCGTATATTTCCTTCGCCTGCCTTTTTTTCGTGAATGCGTTTTAGATTTCAAAGTAGTCCCTCCCTTTCTCAGGCAATGAACGTCCCATTGACGTCCACTGAATCCAGAGGAAAATTGCAGTTTTCCCGTTTTTTCCCTTTCCTCCTTTTATTTTTTTTTTTTTTTTTTCGTTTGTGACACGAGAAATTTATGAAGCTCCATGAAACTCGAGGACCAAACTGAACACGGGCGAGATGGAATCGTCCGATAAATTTGGCGAATAGCGGGCAAACATTTTTTCATCCAAACGAGTCTTTTGACTAGCGCTCGCGACCATCCATCCGGGGAAATAAAACGGAGGAAAGCGTGAAAGCTGGATAATCGTGGAAGATAGTCGACTTTAATCGGACCTTTACGCTTCTCGAACGTCTAGTTGACCTTCGTCACTGTCGAACTTGTCGATTACGTGGCGCAAAAAGGAGGCTAAAACCTGTCGTGTGCCAACGACGATTTAAACCTTTTTGAGCTCGACGAAGAGACGGGAAAAAGTAGTCTTTAAAAATATTTCATAGAAAGCATCGCATTTACAAAGAAGGGATTAACCTTTTTCCTTCGAAATCTATGGGAAGGACGGGTGAAAAGTATTTCTTTTTAAAAAAAAAAAAGAAAGAAGGAAACACGTAAGAATTTTCAAGTAGACAACATTCTGCTTCCATCCGACCGAAAGAAATCTAATTCTCAGCGTCCTACCTTCGAGCATTTTATCTTCCCTGGCGTTGTAATTTCGAGAAACGCATAAATTTCAGCTTCTCGTCACGCTGACGTATCGGACCGTTCGCTCCGGGCGTCCCTGTTTCGGTATAAATAAGAAAACTCTCCGTTAAAGGGTCTTCGACGTCTCTGTGACGGTCGAGAGGAATCGTGCTTTCGATCTCCTTGATGGCAAAGAGAAGTAAAAAAAAAAAAAAAGAGTAATCAGAAACGAATCACCCAAAGATACCCTTTTTGCCTCTTTGAAAAGTGACGCTGGTTCGAGTTGAAAGAGGAGAGAAGTCCAGGATCGCGGGAATTAAGCGACGAGGTTAAAAGGTGGAAACGATGGTGAAAAGATGAAAGCAGGAGCGGACGGGAATGGCGTCGAAAGGGGTTGCCAGGGCGAAACGGGCCTGTGTAAGTATTAAGCGGGCTGCGTTCGCGCGCACGAGAAACTTTCACAAAGCGTTTTCGAGGTAGTTGAGCGATACTTTGGTAGCGGGTGAAGAGCGTGGAGGCGGCGAAGAAAAAGAAGCTCGTGGGAAATAACGCCACCGCCAGCGAGCGTGTCCTTATGCTTACTCGAGGCCGTTCCTTCTTATCATTGTTCCCAGCCAACCTCCAGAATCTTTCAACTTCCTACGATGCTGCTCGACCTTCTCTGCATGAATGACTCCCGCCAACTGGGTCAATCTTCCTACGAGATCCTTTCTCTCGTACCTACTTTCTGCTCACCGCGCGATAATACGTTCATCGAGTCATCGAGCCTGCCCAGCATTTCTCCGAGAAATTTCTATTTATCGTGAAAGTCGAACCGATGCTGCATCAATTTTAAATGCTTTCACTGCTAGCTTATTGACCAGTAAATACGAAACAGCAGCGCACAGAGTCGGTTGTTCGAATATTAATATTGTCACCATATGCGTCGCCGACTCGTGACGATGCCATTATTTGGAAGCACGCGTGTTGCCGCGATGAATATTTCAGGATACAATTTTGATCGTGCACCGGCCTACCGTGTGTATATCATTTTTATACCCGTTCGTGGATTTTTCAGTGGAAAAGGGGGTGGTTACAAAGCAACCTGCCTGTTACGAATTCAAGCTACGATTTGTGGACACGGATTCCAGGAGAATTTTCGTTCAAACTGGTCAACAAAGTACGGCGTTTTGTTTAAGTGCTATAAATTTACCCACGTAAATATTGAAGCAGAAGAATGAAAGCTAATAAACAGAACGGGAACAGTGAATTTATAACGGTGAACAGGAAATCGTTTCAACTCAAGAGGACCCATATTTACCGGGAAATTATACGCGCCTGATGGTTATCGATAATAATTTATCAATAAGTCGTCACTTGGGAATACATGGCCAGGCTGTAGCTCGGAATTTAACGAAAAATAATATTGACTATGCGAGATAAACACGCTAAGTATTTATGGAATTTGTAATATACCCGTTCATATTTTACTGCGAAAATTTGCGAAACAAATATGCCGGACAAACGACGCGTTAAATTTTCAAGCGAGCTTGTCCCTTTTTGTTTCACGAGTAAATGCTTTTTAATTTAATCAATAAAATAGCGAAATAATATAATTCGTATGTTCTAAATACCTCTGTTCCATCTAACTTGAAGCAGTCCCCGCTCACAGACCGAAACGTTTCAAGAACTGGAAACAACTGAGCTCCGGCTCTGCGTCGAATGCGTGAAATTTGTAAACATATCCCGACCTCGTCTCGTTGGACGGATTATAGAATTCCTGGATGAAACATTGAGAAACACAAGTTACGATCGCCTGAGGCAAGAAAGAGAAGAGATCTTACTATTTCTAAATTCTTTGACAAATAAAGATTGACATCCGCTATTTTTGTATTTACCTTTGGCTGTATTTAGGAGCGGCATTCGCAGGAAGTAGTTGTTCGCCTTCGGGAGGATCCTCGACTGTCTTCCGTTTCATCCAAGTTCGATGGAATTTCACGTGAACGTTGCCCTTGGGACCGTACCGGGAAACATGCTACGTGTAAGGCAGTCGGGATGAAAAAAAGAAGAGGAAAACGCACGACTCTTCTCTGCTTGGTCTATTAGGCACGTACAGTGTGGAGCGAGTGGCATTGTGCCGCTTGTACACAGTTTCTTCGTCCATTCCTCTACCCTTTAAACTCGTTCATTTCACCTGTTCCATCCCCTTCTGTTTGTTGCCTTCTTCGCTTCCTGCCGCCCTCCGTACATTTCAAACTCTTCCTCTCGCACTTTGTTTTCCACCAATCTATTGACCCTGCCGAACGTTTCCCGTTACGTGAACTTGCCACCTGCTTTCTTTCCAGAGAAATATATTTTCATTGGAACATCAGGTGTATTTTATTCGGTCAATTTTCCAATGATCCGTTATTAGCAACGTCTTCAACGAACTCCGGTAGCGGTATGCAAATTGAACGTGTAGGAAAAGCGTACGGTGAAGTGTTTGGTGTGTCGTGGAGCATGGCCGAAATACCGAGAGGATGTCGGACGAAAAGACTGATACGATTCCCTCGGGCGTAAGTGGGAAAGGTTGAAAGGGTGGCGACGATTCCGACGTCTCTGCGAGAGGGACGCGTAAAATGCTGAACGAGACCCGGTACGGGAACGAATGGAAATTTCTGCTTCGCGCAGCATCGACGACCGGGGGCTTTGAATTTAAATGGCCTTTCAAACAACGTTACTTACGGTTCTACCTCCGGCGAGCCGATGCCCGTTAAATGTGTAACGAGTTAACCGCGAACGCGGAATATTTTCGCGGCCGACCGGTTCTCCGTCGCCGGAATTCTAATGGGATTCCAGTTTCACTGTTTTCTCTCGTTCAGACTCTACTCCTTTGCCAGTGTCCTTGCTCATCCATTTTTATCCATGCGAACAGCATTATCGCGATTCGAAAGGAGGATTCAGAGAGCAGTAGCTTTCGTATGAAAAATAAAAATTTTCTGTTTATCGAACAACTGTGGACACTGTGACAATTAAATGTAGAATTAAACAATTAAAAAGTCCGATAATTTACCATTAAACTTTCACTGTACTCACGTTCATTCCTCGGCAAAAGGAATAATTTGCGAACGATTTAGCATCGGCTCGGAGCGACGCGTTATTACGATACGCGTTCGCGCAAGCTGTTAAATAAATCTCGTTCTGTCGGGTCATCGTCGTCAATTTACTAACGAAGCCCATTCATAAAAACCCGTTGGACGAAGGGGCGGCGTCGGGAAACTACATTTAATTACGGAACTTTTCGATATTCATATTGGATGCTTGCTTGTTCAGAATCCGTGATAATTCGACCCTGAATATCCACACTGGAATAGTTGAAGTTGGCTTCCTGCATTTTTTTTTCTTTTTTTTTTTCATCTCTCCCTTTATTCCAATTTGATTTTTCACCGTTTTAATGAAATTTTATTATTTTCAAGACCGACAACTAGTTTCGCAGGATTAATGGTTTTTGTCATTTGTCAGAAATACCATCGAATAATTTATGATTTGGTTGTCGCGGTATCGCTTCCAATCAACGCGAGCAATAATTTTCACTTTAAATAATGTAAACGATCAACGATCGTATCGTGTACGAATTTTACAACATCAAAAACAATTGTTTTTGTCAGCCCCGTGTAAAACACGATCGTCGTAATTTCCATCGATGTTATAATTCCTCTGAAGTCGAACAAATTTTCCCATGACTCTGATTTATCGTTTTTGTTCTTCAAATAATATTAAAACTATCGATCTTGTACGAATAAATATTAAATCGTAATGTTAAACACGTTTCGATTATTTTATTTATAGCGTTACTAAGTTGTTTGAAAATTTCTGTTGCAGGGTTGTTATTTCTGAACCTGATACCCGGAAGGTTCTACAGTGAATTTGATCCAGAAGAGGTCCTGATCAGTTTCTACTCCTGCTAATCTTGCAATCCAGTGGCATGAATTCATTGAAGGTTGATGTAGCCAAAAGTGGGTCAATTGGAGCTGGCCCATTACGTTGGCGAACTCGCCGCACATAAGAACCGGTGAAGCCAAGCAAATTGGTACTTTCGTTACAAACGGTCAATCAAGATGGCGCTTATTAACTCGTAATTTTCACTTTTAGTTGGGTTCATCGCGACAAACCAATTCGTACGTTCTGCTCCCTCTTACAACTTTCTATATTTGGACGAAACTTTGGGTTAACGAGGACCATTTTAAAAAGTATCCCTTTCAGAATTCACTTTCGATTGAAAGCACTTTCCTGATTAACGGGATGAGAATCAAAATACTTATAATAAAGAAGTAGAAGGGGAAGGTGTTGTAACTAATTTAAGAAAGTGCTCGTTGGTACCGTAACGAATCGCATTTCCTTCTTTCTTTTCTGCTTTCTTCCGGTCCGTGTTTACCCGGTGAGCCAGCTTTATCGTAGCTCCGAGTGGATTCAGAGGACCCCGGCCATCGTAAAGTCAATGAGACCTCGACTCCCTTACATTTTTCAAGGGCCCTGGCTTTCCCAGCTATAAATTACTGTCCGCCTTTGATCGTTCCCTTCCTCCCGTCGCTTTTCCATCCACTCACTTGCGACAAATACCTCTTCGTTGAAAGATTTTCGGGAGAAAAGTCGCGCCTGAGGGTCTGACGATGCTTTTTGCGCGAGAAATAATCATGTGGACGTTAATCCTTTGAGAAAAGCGAACTTTTTTCAGAGGTGATGCGATATTGAATAGTAGATGGATGCCTAGACGCTGCGCCACTTTTTATCAACTGTGATTTTTCCAGCATTATAGCTTCATCAGAGGTATAAGAATAGCCTCGGTGGAAATACCGACGGCGTATGGCCGATAAGAAGAGAACGGGAAAGAAAAGTACGCGCGGAGAGAAAGGGAGAATCCCTAGGGGGTCGTGTCGAGTCGGACAGTCGACGATAAAGAGGGTTGGGTGAGCTCAATCTGAAAAGTTTCTTTACGATGGTAGGTACGCCGACTCGTAAAATTCTGTACGAATCAAGTGTCGAGCGTATGAAAAGGGCAACGTCGAAAGTGGAAAGAAAAGAAAGCAGGAGCCGAGCAGGCGAGTAGAAGATGAGAGGGGTAAAGAGGGTGAAACTGTGGGAAGAAGTCACTTTGTGGAAACGTTTCGACGATATCGCGATCGCCGGTATAGAGAACCGAGAATAAAAAGATTCTCTGAATACGGTATTTCCGTGGCGAACTTTTCCTCGCTGAATCAGCCGCGTAACGACCAAAAATTCTACAATTATTTTCGCCACGGATCCGAGGGTGAGGGAGGAGAACACGGAAGTCGATCGGATGTACCGCGAACCAGTGAAACGTTTCAACTAAAAAGTTATCGTTCTCGTTGGATCGAGTTCCAGTCACGGAATACTTCTTGCACGAAACGGCCGTTCGCAATGGCCTTCTTCACCTTTCTTAACTCGACCGAAAGGGTCTTCGTAACTGACTCGCTGGAATTCGAAGAATATTTCTCGAACCGAGAACTATCTTCCCTCGTTTTCCGCCAAACTGGCTGAGACAGGACGCTCTCCTGGAAAGAGAGAAAAGGAAAAATTAGAATACCGACTGGTGACAGGGAGACACTTTGGTGACGTTGATTTATGGAGTCCGATTCGGTGCCCGGTGTAATTGTAAAGCGGTTAACACCTTGACTGGCATAATGGGAACAACTGACTCTAGTACGGTATATGTCACGATGCTATGTATACGAGGAGACCGTGAATTGTGAACAATTTTTGTTTGCATTCGTTTCGCGACATCTTTTCAATCATGTAAATGAAAGGACGCGTTGGGAATGTTTGCACACATTACCATTGTTATTGTTAGGAAATTTATGGACGGCAGGATGTTCGAGAATTTAGTAAACAGCACCGGAATTTCCGAAGTGCATACCATTATCATTAACTCCTGCATATATTCTTGAAAAGCACACATGTTATCAGCGTTAATAATTTGTTAACGACCCGTCTGTTTCAGTGAAAATTTCCCTGAAAATTTTCTACATTCTACGTATTTTTAAATTTCGAATACGAAAAATGCAACGCCGATATGGATCTGTGCTATGCAGCGATAAAACGCAACGTTTGTCCTGGAAAAAAGAAAATTACCGTAAAAGAACAAAGTTTGGATTTTTTTCAAAAAAATAAAAAATAAAAAAGAAGGAATTCACGCGAAAAGCTAAAGTTTACCGAATCGTAAATGCCTCTTTTCCCATTTTGAACGTTGCGAATGGCTGCGATACGCGAGCTTCCTGTGTACAGGCGTATCAGTACGGTATCGTATTTCAGCCGAAACTTTGTTTCCTGGCAGACTTGATTATGCGCGTCCCCATTTTTCGCCTAATTTCCCTCGTTTTATCCGGCGGCTCGCAAATCCGGTACGCAGCGTCCACGTAACATTTGGCGTCCCGTTAACCCGAATATCGATACGAAATTCGACCGTGTTTTTCAAACGGCTAACAAAATTCCCTTGTTGTCTGGTAACAAGGAATTACGTGTCGATACTCGTCGATTTCACCGGCAAACCGCTGCGCATCGTTCGGTTAACAAGCGACACAATTTCAATTTCGTTTACCGATTTTACATCGACCGGTGATCAACAGAAAATACACGTGAAAGTTTTAATTTGTTACAGGCAACAACTTTAACGGGGATGATAGAAAGGAAAACGATAAACTATTTAATTTAGACTGTGTGTTGAACAGTTCTTCGAGCACCGAATGGCAGGAAATTAAAACGCAATCCTTGGATCTTCAGCCGAAGCTCTGATTTACGTTCTCCTTAAGTCGAGCATACCCCGAGGGGAGGTTTTTAACTTTCTTCCTCTCCGCGATCATTTCTGTTTCGACGTTATTGCCTCGTGGAAGGGAAATAAATTTTCATTTCCTTTTCTAGAATTTCCTCCATCAACAAATAGAATCTTCCAATTTATATTTTCCAAGAAAATAATGTGTCAAGCGTAGGCTATGAAAGTGTAATTACCATTTTGGAATTTTGAATAAATCAGCTATGAAAGCATAGTATAAGATCGTTTCTCGTTGAAATTATTCTTGCTAATGAATTTTAATCGGACGCATGATAGAGAAATTCCAGGAAGTATAAGTAATCTTCTCCGCGTTGCCTCGTATTGTTCTTTGCAATATACAAGAAATCACGGCCAGGAAATTCATGGGAACTTTTCTTTCGTTTATTTCATCGACATTCACTTTGATGATATACACACTATAAAACGCGATTCTCGTTAATTTTCAATCGACCGTTTACTTAAATACGCTTCGTTTCCGTTGATAAACGGTAAATACGTGGAAATAAATCCTGCCCTCGTCTCTCCTTTTACCTCCCTGTGAAATACATTTCATTTCATTTCACGAAACGTTTAATCGGTATCCACGAATTCGCATTGCTGGATTGTAAATCATCAACGAAGACCGTTTACTATTAAATCTTGCATAATCTGCTGATTACCCGTGTCAAAGAAGCCCATAATTGTGTTTGACGGGTGGAAAACGCTCTCTGATAAGTGTAACGGGCTCCAGAAAACCGGAAGTAATTACAATTAACGACGCGTGTAATCGAAATGACCCCGTTGTAAATTGCGCGTTCAATTTTCGTTTTACTAAAAGTGAAATTTCATTTACTTTTGCAACAGAATTTTCATGGGAGTTCACTGATTAATGTTACATCGTCGAGTGGACGGGATCAGAGTTTCGTTAGGGATTCAAGGATGCAACGATCCTTTTCGATGGAAAATCGGTGGAAAAATGGAAATTGAAGAGAAGTCTCAGAATCGTGCCAGTATCTCAAGATTATTGCTTTCATCCCTCTCGAAGGATTTTACAGTCGCCAAGCGAACCACTTTTCTACGATTGTTCGATCGTTCAAGGATATGCTCTGCCACTTGCTGCCCTTTTTTCCTTCCGTTTATTACCTTCGGTTATCGAACTTACACTCCTTACTGTCTTTTATCCATTTTTTTACTATTAATCAATTTTTCTACAGTAGTAGGTCACGTACCTACGCGTCACAGACCAGGTCCCTATTCTTTAACAAGTACCAGGATATCTTTGATTCGATCCACGATCCGATCGTGCGTACAATTTTCCAGAACACAAAGGTCAGAAACGGGCCAATTATTTTCACGGTGCATTTGAAGGTACATGGATGCAGATTTCGAAGACGCGGTGCAACAGAGCGAATCACGTTTCTGCGATTCGCTACGATCCGTCAGAATTGTTTCCTCTTGCTTAAAATTCGCATACCTACATTCTTCCGGCGAAAAATTGGAGAACGTTTCAGAGGGGATACTACGATGCTGGACTTCTCTGTGGCGTTTAAAAAATGGTCCAACCTACGTGACTCTACGTTCCGTTGTTTATTGTATTTTGAAAATCGTAAAATCAACGAGCGGAAAACTACGCGATTTTCCGAAAGATTGACTCTACCCAATAGACTTTTTCATAATTTTTCTCGTGGAGAATGAAGATAAAACGAATTCCTTGTTTCATTAATTCACATTTACATTAAAACCTGAGGATATTTTTCAAGATAAACGTAAGCGAAAAGTGTGGTAACTTGAGAAACGAGGGTAGGAAATAGGAGTTCAGGTTGGCAACGAGCGAATAATACGATTAGAAGAACGCGAATTTCCTTCGACGAACGTTTAAGCTGTTCGATACGGTAGGAGAGCATCGAGGCAGCTGTAACAGGGTAATTGAATAAAAATATCGAGCTTCAACGGCGGAATGCAAAGCGCCCTTAAACTCGCTTCTCGCCCAGGGAGAGGCTAATCGTCGAATTACCGTAACGACCGCTCCGATCTCACGAATTACGCGCGTGTTTTCGTGTTACCTGTTCGAAAGTGGCCAGAAAAAAAGCGACAGCTAACTTCTATTTCAAGGATCGGAACCGTTGTTACCTTGTTAAGCGAAGGGGAAAAAAAAGAGGGAACGACTTTAATTACCATCTATTTTCAGGACTTGGTGTTTGAATAAAACACCAGGTATGCGCTACATGAATTTAAAGCTTGAAACTTGATGAAAACGACAATTAATTCAGTGATACGTGAAAACAGTTTTTAGTGTTTTCAAAGTATCCTGAAAGCTCTTTACGAATGCATAATTTACTTCATAAATGTTTCTTAAAGATCTTTTGAAACCTTCAGTTAATCCGTTCCTTTCTTACGTTATTCGAAACGTTTCATGCGTTGTTAACGTTTAACGAGCACCGAAGTATGTAAACGAGGGCAACGTGAGGAGAGAGAAAAAAACGAAAAAGAGAAAAAGGTCGCCTGCGTCTTGTAAAGGAATATTTCGGAACAAACGAGAGACGCGCCGTTTTAAACGGGGACACGAGAATCTGCATAACGAATTTCTAGGGAATTATCATAAACGTAGCTTTCAGCTACACTTAATCCTCGCCCGCATTAACGCGACAGACACTGTGGTTTAAGTTTCTCTTCATCCGAATACGTCCTCTGACGATTTCAATCCTTCCTAGATCTACTTTCCTCGGAGACTGTAATCAATGCCGTTGAAAGTAAGCTCTGCTTTGAACTTGTGCCCAGCTGACAAGAAAAAAGCGCGAAAAAACGAGCGGGCAACTGATTCTTTGCCGGAGCAGCAGGCCATTGACCTATACTACTGCGGACACCAGCCACGTGGCGCGCATTCGATCCGCTTACACTATTGTTTGCCAACTTGACGATACTCTGTTTTATGTTTACATGCACAGTAAAATTTAATGAAACTAATTGAATTTAAAATCGTACGCGACTAACAAATACCTCAAATTATTCAAAATCTGCTCCGCAACGCAATTGAATGTATTTGAAATTTGTTGAAATACTAATGAAATACGTGTTGAATGTTTTAATTAACGTTTCAACTTTCATGTCTGATTTACTTCGTTCCAAATATGAATTTTTTACAAAAATAAATCAGAGTTCATTGTAACAAATTCTGTTTCCAAAATTCGTCCGTATCAAATTAAACTTATTTCATTCGCAGAAAATTTTCACGTTCGTTGTATCACGTTTAATTAATATTATTAATATTAATTTCATTCGCTTGACGAACGTACACGGCCCTCAATATTTTATACTTACCTCGAGTTGGAACCGTGGTATGTTTAAAAATCTTGAAGAATGTAATCGAGGAATATCTAAAGGAGGAAATTTCCGTATCGCAGAAGGGCTACCCAGTCGAGATCGTCCTGTTTCGTAGCAAAGAACATCTCGAATCGATCCGTTCTGCTTCAGGAAAGATCTGAAATCTCATAAACTAAAAAGACGATCAGTTTCCGTTCGTATCTGCCGAGGGAACGACATTTTTCTGCACAAGAAATTGAAGGACGACGAAGAGAAAACGAGCAACCGGGTTAATAGAAAAGCTATTTTTATTCTTTAATCTCATATTCAGTCGTGAAAAATCCTTCGCTACATCCAAAGTACGTACGACATGTGCAGAATCGGATACATTACGTTATACACGTTAATACAAATCGTATTGCTCGATCGTTCGGAACATCGTGTGTGTACATGAGCCTGTGTTACATGTATATTTATATATTTATATTACTTATATTATAGGTGTGGACGTGGTGTTGAATGTCGATGTGTACACAATTTGTCTCAAAAAATAAGAGACCGACTTTTTCAACAAACAGCCAGAAAATTTCGATTGAGATTATTGATAAGTTTCGAATCGATGTAGAACTAGGTAAAAGTAGAGCGAGATTCGCTCTAAAGCCAACCCTTGGAGCTAACTGAAAAAAAAAAAAAAAATTTTTTTTCTTCAGCCATTCGTTGAGATTTTGACCCACTAAACACAATGGCGCAAGAATTTTTTGACCTGTACAAAAGTGACAGAAAGTCTAAATTCTTTAGCCCCCTTCTCAAGATTTCCAATCATAGATACGGGTTGGCTAATAAGTGGTATTTCGAGATACTTTTACTTGAACCTAACGTTTTGAGAAGAACCACCATACGTCAGAGAGGAACTAGCAAGTGAAAAATCATTAAAGAAATCAATCTCGTTACTTTTTGGACAAAGCACGCACGTGTGCACAAACGATACTGATTGTGTGCGGGTGTATGTGTGTGTAGGTGGCGGTGCGGAATCGTAACTATCTCCGCAGCAAGTTTTACGGTCGAAAGGAGGGTCGAACGAGATCGATACGTCTGCCCTCGATTCTCTACTCCTCTCAGCCCCCTTTTTCTCCGATTTTTTTTTTCCCTTCCTTTTTCTCGTTCTCCACCCTTCCAACCTAACCCATTCCCGCTTTTACTCCCTTTTCCAACGATTATGAGCCACGAGAAACCCTCGCGTCGGGGTACCGACACGCGCCGACTCGCGCTTTTCCATCGAGATTCTTTTTCCACCCTCCTCGACACGCTTCCCCGTTTCTCGCCGCTCTTCAGAACCTCTGGAATTCCATTTCGACTCGCAACGGCAAACCTAACGCTCGTTACGTCGTTCGAGCTTAGAAAAATACTGTTCCTATTTCAAGGAAAACGGATATGAGACTTGAAGAGCTTAAAGTACTCGCTGAGAGGATAAAAAGGATCATCTAGCTGACCAACACCAAATTGTGTTCTTTTTTTTTTATCAAACATCCTCCATAGAGTGTATTCTTGGATCTCGTTCAATTTAGTTCGTAGACGATTCTCCCTGCGAGGAAAGAAAATGAATTCCTGAATCGTAAAGGATTCGAAAAGTGATTCGTTCAATCTTTTCGTAGATGATTCTCCATGTTCCGGATGGAAAGAAATTTCGTATGGGATGGCTCGTTGATTTTCTTCGCGACAAACTCGATATAGAAGTTCTCGCTCGTCGTGTTACCTGGATCGCAATCGATCGGTGAACAAAAATGCGTCGACTTGTATTTCATACATATATTCATATTGGCACCGCCAGGTTCTGCGACGCGGCTGCTCGACAATTTCTCGAATTTCACATCGCCAGTTATTCCGTTTCGTTTCCAAGACAAGGTTACATTTTTTGCACACCGATCTATCAAGATTCACGTGATAAATTTTCGTGTATAGAGACTGTAAAATATTTAATTTCTTCCGAAAAATTGAAGCTAGTTGAAATAGCATTTATCTTGAAACGTCTTCTATATTGCAAGGAAGAATGTCTGTTTTACTCAAAGAAGAACACGTCAACAGAGTACCTTGAGTTTGCAAGAAGAAAAATTAATGTACCTTGAGAAAACGTGGCTGGAACAAAGAGGAAGTTCTCTTTCAAAGTTGCATGTCGTTTGTAAAGTGTCTATTGTAACGCGATAATCGTTTTCCTACACGCTTCTTTATCCGAATTTACGGAGAGAACGAAGATTATTGCAACCGAATTAACCGCAGTACCGTGGCGGAGTACAACGACGGTTTCGATAACAGAAATTTGTAGAAGTAGTTGAACTGGTGACGGTAAACCCAAAGAGAACTACCGTGGCACGATCTCTGGTACATTCCAAACACGACCTGTGCCAATTTCTAATCCGAAAGCAACCAAAAACGATGGGGACCGAGGCCTTCGGTTAGCTAAATTGGAATAACGAAACCCATCCTGATGGAATTCTACGTTCTCATTATTACCAGAGTGCATTCTAACGCGGCTTGTTTCGCGATGGCCAATTAACGAATTCTATATGAACAGCGTGCCCGTTCCTGCATTATTTTCCCGAATTTAATGCAAATTTCAAATGAGCTACGATGAATATTTGATCGACTAACAGATAACAAAACAGTTCAGAGAGAAATTATTTAGCTGACTAATATATGTATAGTTGAAAATAGTTTGCACTCCAATAAAACAATTTATCGTCCAGAAAATTATTTCCAACTAATTTTATCCCACTAATGGTCAGAGTATGTTATCATCTGGAAACACAACTAGGACAAATATGGAAACTCATCGAATCATCGATTAAATTCCAATTATTATTAATTATAGTGGTGTCCTTTGACGCAGCTTCGAATGCAGCTGGTCTTAATTAGACTGAAAATATTCGAGGAATCGAAATGAATTTAATTTATTCGTAGAATGTGTGGTAGAGGAAATATGTCTCTAAAGAGGAGGATTTAATTTGAATAGCTTCATGGTTAATAATTCTGGTTATGCCTCTGTTTCGAAAAGTTGCGAGCGGAAATCGTATACGGAAATAGCTGAGGTACTTAGATGCGGTGAAGCGACAATAATTAACGGATGGTCGCTGAAACAGGAAACAGTAACCGGAAGGAAACCGATGAAATAGATTTGCTCGCATAATTCTTATTCGAACACTTGATTATTTACACCGTGAACGTGTGAATAACTCTTATCATAGCGTATCATACTAGATACGCTTATTTTACTATGGAGGTCAACTTGTTAAGCCGTCGTTTAATTAAAACAAATCCGACCATTCAACAGAAGTGTGTCCAATCAACAGCTCTCAAAAAAATATCACTCTATTCACCGATTCGAGCATCGAAACAAACAATCGATCGTTTAGTTTGCTCCCGAAACAATCAACATCCAACGAAACAAATTTGAAAACTCGCTTGGAGCAAGAGAGATAGATACTCTACTATATAATGAATATAAAAAAATCTCTACGATACTGTGTAGTTTGGATCGAAAGACAAAACGTTATTTGGTAAGCTAGAAGGATTTTTGATCCATCGTTTATTGTCAAAACGGTGAGTGAGCCGCATTAGCGTCGAATAATTAAATCGTTTCGCGCCAATAACCATCGCTTATACCCGCTAATAATTATCACGGCCCGTTGCCGCGTTTCATAACTTGTCGTTAATTGTCGCGGAACGAAATATTCTGTCGATCCAGCTACGGAATCCTTTGTCGAGGTTCGAACGCATTAAACTTCCGACAGCACGGCAGAGAGGACAGTGTGCATTGTTAAAAATAATGAATCATCGAGTACCGACGATTCATTGCTCACCCAACGAACTTGTGATATATAATCGGGGTCAAAAACATTTTGTAATGCTCTCCTTTGTTTATTATACACGACGATAAAGTAGAAAATAACGCGATAAATACCGTGTAGGAAATTGTTTCGTCAGGGGATTAATTTATTAAACGATCGACCGAGGTAATTATTTTGTAGAAAATGCAATAATTTGATTTACTGCTTCCTAAGATCCAATTTCGTAATTTCTCACCTTTGTTATTTTACCACGATTGCGAGCAATCCGTGCTAGACGAAATGGGTAGGCAGATCGTAAAACTAATTCTAGGCGAGGCGTGCCAAATAATCTGGACTATGTCGTAACTCAAACACTGTGAACGCGTATTTGAGTTACGACGCGTTCGTGGCTGGCCTGAAACGAATTTTTTCTCCCTTCGAAAATTTGATTGCCACCGTGCGAGTATCACGCATGAACGCCGGATGCTCGTCATTCTGGATACAGATTATACGTTTGAGTTATCGTCCACCGACTATCAGAACCAAACGAGTTTCTCCGATTCTTTGAACAAGCTATTGTTTGGAATCTGTGAAATCCAGGGAATTACAGCAAGTTTTCCCCTTAATTTAGGATTAGGCCGGTAACTTTTAGGCCATATTAATGTACGGCTCCCTTACACCTCTAATCAGGAAAATTAAACGAGGCATCGATCATTTCTATTCGAAAGCCTTGTTTATGAAAAGGTCTGCACGTGATTTGCCGTTTCGAGCTCGAAACGAGAAGAAGAAGAACCGATACGACCCAAAGATTCCAGTTGCTCCGGTCTGCTCCAATGGACACGGTTCGATTCTACTCCAGGCAGACTATAAAACGAACACTATTCATTCGTGAATCGGTTGGTAATTGCAATGGCAGAAAGGGGGCGAGCTGCGTTTACGATCCGTTTCGACTTGACTGCGTCTTTCATTCGAACACTGCGACCGCCACTTTGATTAACTTAATTAGACCCTAATGCTAAATTAACGGCTCTTTCTTTCTCGTCAAGTTGTCGCGAAGGGAATGAAGTTCCTTTCGAGGTTGAAAGAATGACCTTATTGTTATAAAATCGCATTACCAGCCAAAAGTATGGAAATCTCTGTGAATCGGTTCTTGAAATTTTTCGTCAAAATGAAAATACACCATTGCAGAATGGTTGGCCCATAACTTCGGTTGGTAGTGGATTTATTCGATCGATCCACACGAAACATTGGATATCAATTAATTTTCAAAGCTGATTTCCTCAAAAATATCAGATATTCGACGTTTCGTGTACATCAACTTAACTTACGTAGGTGAATCGATCCTCGTAGGTGACTTCGCGAGGCTCGATACGGTAGCAGATGTTTCCAACTAAAATGTGAGAACCTGTGGGAATAACATCTTTCGAGGTTGTCGAGTATTGGTCAGTCGAGGTTTGCTAAACTTTCGAACGAGTATCGCGGGATACCATCCGTCATGATCTTTCTCTAATATAATCGTACCTCGCGAAATCACCACGACCATTATACTTTTAACACTTTGACTGCCACAGTAGAAGTATCCACGAATTTTGAATTTTCTTCTTTTTTAATTTTCCAATGATTCAATTATCAACCTAATAATTTAATGATTAAACTCGCTGACCATCCCGTGCCAGCCAACGCGTTGAAACTTTGTTGGGCGAGGGTGAACCACCCTTGAGGGTTTAAAACGGTTTAAAAACAGCCTTCAAAAATATCTGTTCTCACCGTTTCCTACCATTTCGATCACGTAGTATAGTTCATAACCCCGTACGTGTGTATGTACATGTACGAGAGCTTTATAAATACATATATGTATATATATACCATTGTCGCGTGTGTAGGTGTGTATGCTTGTGTGGTACGAATTTATACACATACATACGTATTATGTTCAAGAGTTCTCTGTACATCAGGTTAAGCACCAGCTCGTAATCTCGCACAGTTCGCCAGTCTTAAACACCGAATTAACGTTATTATCACTACACCAGAATTACCTACAGCCTTTCGTCGGAACTTTCCAGACCGGATACACCAGTCCGGTCCGGGTTTCGGTCCGAATCCGACGGAGCAGTAAACTTTAATAACGATACAATTGGTTAGCCTAGAAGGTAAATCGATGGGGGATTGGGAAACGAGTAGAGAATGGGGCGAGAGGGACGATGGGGGTTGCATATGAGCTTGAGCAGATATTCCAACGAGTCACATAAGTACAATAGTACTTTCTCTGCTTTTTTCACTTTTGCACTTTGCACTCGTATTTATAGTTATCCGTGATTTAAATCGATTTAACGATCAGAAAGTTTACCCTTTTTTTTAAGAAAAGAAAGATTCTTCTAATTTAGAACAAACACACTTACACTCGACGTTTTACTTTGTACACTCTTGTTCCTTGAAATTCAAGGATCTCGTCCACTTAACGACACGTCTTAAAAGCGAGGTATTTTTCATTTGCCCCTCGTTAAGGCGTTGAATAGCTGCTCCGTGTGTTCCTGGAGTCGTCAGGAGATCACGAAATGTTTGCTCCGGTAAAATTCGATTCCTCTGCGCCGTTAACGTATTCCTCCTTTCCAGGAGATTCTATTGTATCGGAGAACGACAAGGGGCGGAACAACGGGGAGGAGTGACGCCGAGAAAATTCGAGCACAGTTACAATCGAACCTGGACCCTCGATTGTTTCGATCCGAACAATCGTTTCCCTCACTGTACTCCACCTTTTTCGAGTCAGTGAATTTTTCCAGGAAATTTTCCAAACGGTATAGTAGTCCAGGGGAAATTCTCGTGAGCTTTTGAAACGAGAAGACAAGACGCCTGTTTCCCTTGCACGACGAACAGAATTCGATTAGCGACGTCGGTCCTTCGAACACGGAGCTCTGCTTCTGACAAGAAATTATTCCGAGAAACCTCGCACCTGATTAATCCATTACACACGGACCGCTTTTGTTCCGGCTCAACCAGCACGACGTCTGACATCCATTCTCCTGGATGACTTCGGCGACTACCGTCCCAGCACCCTTCCCTGTCCCCCGAGCTTCTTGCTCGTTCAATCGTGTCCGTCGCTTGTTTTCCATGAACTGGATTCGTGCACGTTCGATCGACTTCCACGAACGTCATGCGTCCTATCAGCAACAACGATCAACCATATCCTGGGTACCAACCACCCTTACAAAGATACCAGATATCCACCATCAAACTTCGCGTCTATCTCGACCTAGAATCATCATTGGATTCGTCGATTGCACCGTCGATCAGCGACCTGAGAATTCGTCAAAGATTCGACAAACGTCCTATTTTAGACGTCCATTGCATCGCCGACGTAACCCTCGTCGGGACTTTCGGGATGATGAGGCGGCTGAAGGTCCTCCGCCCTGGCTGCGGCCGCAGCGGCAGCTTCTCGAGCAGTTTTGCTCAGCAACGATCTAGGAGATAGTGGAGTTGTCTCACCTCGGTACGCGGCCGGTGGGGAAGGAATGAATGGCACCTCCGGGAACACGGCCACTGGCGACACTGGAGATACGGGCAGCTGCTGCTGGAGAGGTTGCTCCACTGGCTGAATCGGTTGCTGCTGTTGGGGAGGATACGGGTATCCCTCGGCAGTGTACCTGGCGTCGGTCCTAGGCAACACGGGGTCGTATCCCGGAGATCTGGCGAGGAACTCTGCCTCCCTCGAGTACCTAGCGGGTGGAGCCACCGCTGACCCCTCTACTGGCATCCTCTGCCTCAGTCGAGGTAACGTGCTCGCGGCGCTGAAGGGGATTTTAGGCAAACCAAAATTCAAAGGATAACCATCTTGATCCAGATAACTGAGTTGGGGTATGTTCGGTGGCCGCAGGTCCGGCTGGAGCGGATACCCCGAGTCGTACTCCAGAATTTGTCTCTCCCCGGGCTGATGGCGGTACAGTTGACCATAGCCCACGTCGGTCGTCTCTGGTACCTCGTTAATCAGGTCGGGTTCTGTCAGATACTTTGAAACTGGACTACAATAAGGCTCTTCCAAATTTCTGTGCTCTCTCCGTTCGAGCGTAGCGGCTCTGTTCATTTCTCTTTCGGTATACGAGACCATCTGCTGGTGTTCCAGACCGATCAAACTTCCGTTGCCCTTCCTGCAGGGGAGACTAGTGGTGGTGTCTTTGGTGATGGGCATCACGGACTTGTTCTGCGATACCAGGGCCTTGGAGTTCCTTTTTCGATCACGACGACGTTTACGCATACAGAACACGATGCTGCCTATCAGTGATCCCAAAGCGAACAAGGTGCCTACCAGAGCACCCGCGGCTATGGCTACCACGTATCCTGATCTCGAACGATCGTTTGGAGGTTCCACGGTTATTTTCTCCTGGAACAATACTCGCAGAGAGAGGTTCGCCTCCGCGGATCCTGCCCCGTTCTCGGCTATGCAGGTATACGTGCCCTCGTTTAACGTTTCCACCGAGTAGAGCAGGAGGGTGCTGCTCATATTGGTTCCGCCGCGTTGCCTGTACACGTACCTGAAACAGGCGATCACAGAACTGTTTCGAATGTTTTTCTACCACGTAAAAACGAATTCTTAATTCCTTCAAATATACGCTTTAGAAATTTTGCAAAACACGAAACGTTCATTAGACCACGAGGAAAGCAACGAGAGTAAGGTTTTAACTATATTCAACCAATTTATGACTCGTACACCAAATGGATTATCAACGAAGCAAAAGTTTCGTTCATGGTTACAATAACGGTTGGAACGTTTGCGCGTAAAAAACTTTGTAATTTTTTCTCCCGGACGTCGTTAAATATCGTCGAACGTACGCGTTACTTTCGCGTCAGTAATTAGAATACTTTGGTGATTAACGACCGTGACCAGCGTCTTTCGAAAAAATAGAACACGACCGACAATTTTTAGCATGCAGAAACAACTCTTCTTTCAAAGTACACGAAATACATTGCGAACTCTACACGAGAACTATTCAAATATTATTGGAACCTTATTTCTATTCAGACAACCTTCGGAGGGAAGTAGCGGCGTGAGAAACAACGAAAGTTATTTTTCCAGAGGAAGCTTTGATATTCAAAGAGAATATTCGCAGTGTTTAACCCATTGAAAATATCGCTTCGTTGCCATGGTCGACGTTAACTTACAAAAACCGCTAGACCTTAACTAAAATGGTGGAAAAAGAAAAAGAATCACTCACCGAGGAAACATGGGAGAAGAGACGGATATGGAATCATTCTCGTTCTGCAACTCACAGGGTTCGCCATTGAACCACCAGGCAAGCTTAGCAGCTGGCACAGCGTAGACATCGCATTTGAGGGTGACGTTATCCCCTTCATAGGCCTCCACTCGTTCCTGAAGCTCGATGTGGGGCAGGCAAGCAAGCTCGTTCACTTTTATAGCCTTGATCTGCTTGCCACGTAACCGCGGTGGTGCGTCGCATACTGGTTCCGACTCCTGGGGGGCTGCTGGGGCAGACTCCTTGAGCCAGGCCTGCGTGGGTCGCAGTCTACAGTCGCAGAGCCAAGGATTATTGTGCAGGGTCAGTCCGCGAAGGCTGCCTCCAAGTGGTAACGTGTGTTCTGGTACACGCGTCAATCGATTCCCGTCCAATCGAAGCCACTCGAGAAGATGGAGACCATCGAACGAGCCCTGTTCTACGCTCTCTAACGCGCACTGGCTTAGCTCCAGGTTCGTCAGGTGTGGCAGATTTTGGAATGCCCCACGACGAACTTCCTTTATGGGGTTTCCGTTCAACAATAACTTCATCAGGTTCGAATAAAAGGGAAACGTTTCGGTCGGGATCTCTTCGATCAGGTTCTCCGACAGGTCTAGCTCCACTAATCCCACAAGACCCACGAACGCCCTCGATGCTATTCGACTGATGTGCGATCTGCTCAGGTATAATCTCTGTAGATTGATCAAACCTAAGGCTTGAAAACACTCGGGCGGCAGACTGACCAGATGATTACTGGATAGATCCAACACCTGCGTCTCCTCACGTGCACCCTGCGGCAACCCTTTCAGGTCTCGATTCGCGCACTCCACCCACTCTTTACCGCTTTTCCATTTGCACGTACACATACTTGGACAACCCTCCGACGAGGACGTCCACGATAATAGCATCATCGTGCCGAGTAAAGCGCCCCTCCACCACCAGGCTCGCATCTTCGAGCACATGGTGTACCGTTCCCGAGGATACACGGCTGCTGCTTTTCTAGCTCATCTTCCTTACGATCTTCTTCGTTCCCTCTTTTCCCTCTACGATCTTCTTTCAAGCTTTTCTTTCAGCGGAAGCATCCTGGCTCCTCAGTCTTCGAGATGATGGGTATTGGCTGGTTGATCTTCGATGTTCAATCTGAAACAGAAATTGAACAGACTTTGTTAGAAACAACGTTGTTCGTGCTTTGTAAGGAGATAAATATTTTGGATGTAAATTTGTTTGAATAAAATTCGTCTACCATCAACCATACCCATGCTCTTCAATATTCTTTGAAATTTAAAAATTTATAGCTGTCTGCTGTCTATAGAAATGAAAATTTAATATTTCTAAGGAGTATGAAATATTAGGAGGCACGGCTACACTCGTGTTCGACTCGTACCCTCGTAACTAGAGGAGTTCGCTTTCAGGTACTTGCCTGCAGAGTGTGCACACATGATGTTCGTAAATGGACGCTCGTGTTCCTGGCGCACTTATATGCGCCCCCTCTAAAGCGATGAGGTTAGCACGTTCATCACTGCGCAAAATTTATCGTTTGCAACGAAAGCATCGAAAGTAGGTCGAAGCGTTTCGATCACCTTCTGCACCTTTATCTTTGCGATTATTTTTTCCGACTAACCGGCGAAATAGATACGCGTTTGTTAGTTTAAATTACTAATTGCTATAGAGTAGAGATTAGCAACTCCCTGTTGCTGGCGCACAAGCCCATAGCCCATCATCGAGGCCCCCAGCTAGTTGGAAATTCATCGTTCGCCTCGCTCGTAAAACATCGACACCGTTGACGTTTCCAACGTTGATACTGTTCCCGAATTGACGTACTGCGGATTAATAATTAATCGTTCGTTCCCGCGATACATTTTCAACGTCGCATCGAAGCGCATACTAATCGACCTGTATCCTAACGTAGAATATTCTGTCTCTGTCGAGCAACTGGGCGAAAGCTTTCCTATCGCGATACGCGCTGTACAGTCTCAGTGGTAGGATCGTTAATTCCAAGACAACGGATCCAAGGATCTGAACGAAGGGGATCAGTCGGGTCGATCCGGTGGATCGTAAACCGTTGGCTCGTAAAGTCCACGTACGATGGCTGATATAATCGATTCATCTCGTTCCCAGTGTTCCTCGTGACGATCGTCCTACACCAGGTCTCTGATGTCCTCTTACCCCGCCAGATCTACCCCCGTTTCGTCCTAAATGTTTTATTAGCCGCGAAATGGGCGACGATCGATCGTCGGATGGAACTTGAACCGTGAGAAATGTTACGGTAGACGATTCGCTTCTTGTACCGATACAAGATTCCTCGATTTTGAATTCTTCCCAGGGGATGAAATATTAGATTCATTATTTTATTCGAGTAAATTCTCGAAATATCGAGGCAATAAAGATAAGAAGAGGCAAGTTTCAAACTAAAATTCGTTCTCTTAAAGTAGCCTATTCTGCAACGGGTTCAATCTGCTCGGAGAAGCATGTTAGAAAACTCGAGGAGAGGAGGATTATTCGCAGTTGAATTCGCAAAACAGCGACGAAGACGTGTTGCCTGTTATCTCTGTCTCGGTTGCAAAAATGCGATCAAGAATCCTCTCTGCTTTCCTCCGAGGCGTGTTTTATGGAAAAATCTGACCCGCATTCGCGGCGGCAAACTTCGGAAATCCTGGCGAGATAGCTGCCGAGGTGAAAAGAGAGGGTTGCAAAGGGGTATAGCCAGGGGAAAGGAGAAGGAATGGATAAAGCGAGAAAAGTTGTCGCGCAAACGAGAAGTTAATCCTTTTTAGGACATTCTTTCTCAATCTTCGATATGTTCCCCTTTGGCGTAGCTTATCCTAATGTTTCTTGCTCGTCTCAACGTATCGGGATGAAAAATCACAAATGAGGCAGGAGAAATAATCGACCGAAAGTATCAAAGAAGAAAGGCCAACTGCGAAGTTAGAAGTTGCTGGAAGAAATACGAGAGATAAATCATTCAAGGAAAATGGAAACTGTTGAAACGGGTTGGAAAGAAATGGAAAAAAATAAAATCCATAGATGCGGTAGTGTATTTCTGTATAGGTGTGTGCATCTTGAAGACGAAGAGGTCGGCTTGGAGAAGAAACACTCGTTGCGGCAGAGTATCAGCCGATATCAGGATATCGGAATATCGAACGGAACGCATGCGGTTCAGCATGCAAACCCCACGGTTTTTCATGGCTTTATTCCAGCATGCCCGTTTCAACGAGCCTTTCCACCAGCAGCATCGCAAACGGAGGCCTCGAGGATATTGCCCGCTCGACATTTCGAATCCAATATCTACTCTATCGCCACTTCTTTCTTTTTTTTTTTTACCCTTCGCAATTCTGACGATGCTCCTTCTAACGCGCTAAAAACCAGACCCTCGCCCCTTCTGGAAAATGAAGACCGTATGGCAGAGACAGTTTGCGTTTCTGTTCGTCGCTTCTCCATTCAATCGAATGGAATTAAGAATATTAAAGTCGGCATCGTTCGTGGAACGAAACGTGTGCCTGCTTCGATAAACGATCAGGATTTATTGAAATGATATCGAGGGACGAGGGTAGCTGTCTTTCTTTCCTCTTTTCGTTTTCTCTTCTTGGAATCAATTTTATTTAAATGTTCGTTGGTTATTTCTTTTTTCAGGAATGACCTTACCCTTTATAGCAAGGTTCTATTAGGTATCTTATCGAAAAGTCCAGTGGTAAATCCCGAAGGAAATCTTGTTTTCTTGTTTGTTCTGTTCGGGAACAAAAGGAGCGTAGGATGGATAAAAGGTAGGACGTCGCGAGCCGTTTTTTCTTCTCGGTTCGACGCCATCAGAGCGATGCTGCTCGCATCGCGACGGGGCGAACGTAATGCGAAAATGAAAGAGGAGACGAAAAATGGGAATTCGATGTATTCTCGATAGCATCCCCGATAAACTTCGCGTCCCGAAGAATCCCGCCTCGAGTTTCTTGCTCGTCCCCGAGCGTAATGGCAGCGACGAATTCGTCGAAATAAATAACCGCGAAGAATTGGAACGGAAAAATAGGTAGAGAACGTTCAAGCATCCTGTTATTAAAATTCCAACGCTTGGTCGTTGTTTCTAACCCTGCCATCGGAAAATGTAAAACTTGGAAATATATAGTGAAAATTATTAATCAACGCAGTGGTTATCATTGGTCTCGTCGCTTATTGTAACGGTGGTAAGGTTTAAGTGAAAATTGTAAATAAAATATTTATTAAAGTTGTTTGATTCTGATCGAAGCTGTTGTCGATGGCACTTCCAGCGAGGAAAAGACTATCGAAGTCTTCGTCCTCGGCTTACGGCTTACAATACCCTAGGCGAACAAGAGGACATCCTACCAGGCCTCTCATCGATCCAACCGAGTGGACCAAATCCACCCTTATTTCTCCTACCCTGTCGATAGTGGTTCACAGACATTCGACTATCTCTTTCCTCGATTTTACAAACCACCTACAATTTATCTCTGTTGAAAGCAAAAGAAAAAACTTAGGAATACTTCACTTCAATTTTTAATTTAGTTTGCAACACTTCTGAGTGGCAGATTTGATTTTGACAATGTTGCCAGGATGGTTATTCGATTTGAGAACCTCTTTTCTCTAGTTGCTTCTTTCCTTCTACTCAAATCTTTTCAATCTCATCCTCCCACCATTTCGTGGGTTTACTTGAATCTTTCTGGGTCTAAGGAAACCCAGAATCGTAAACAGAAATTGTCTCGGTAGCGATGCCGAAAAGCATGGATTCAGTTTCATTAACATTTTCATCACTGACAATCTGATATTTGATTATGGAAAAAGTGTTCAACAATTTTTAAGCAATTTCGAAGGGTTTCCTCAGTGATACCATAAAGTTAGGGGATGAGAGGACGGATGCGTGAGCAGGTTACGAATTTTCGATCAAAAGCGGATTTCAACGGGTACTACCCGGACCAAAACCGTAAATCCAAAGTAGGTTTACCTAGCCTGACCGAGATTTTTTCCATCGCACCCGCTCGTTTCAGTTCGCGTTTCCAACATTTTTCTACTCACGCCACCAGTGTTCATAAAAGTAAGATAGTACAGATAGATGGAAGCGGGCCGAGGTCGAGAGTTAAAGATCAAAGTCCTCTAGTTCGATTCACCGGGAGATCAATCGGGAATTCGGCAATTTCTCGCTCCATTGGAGCGAATACTACTTAAAAAAAAAGAATCGATGACCGGAAGCTGGTTTTTTTTCTTACGGAATAGCGGCGTCGATCGTTGTCAGCTCGTTAACGATAGAGCAACCCCAGCTACGATTTCGAAACACAGAGAGAACGCTTTCGATTTTTTGGAAATTTACAATTTTAACATAAATAATGTTTCATTCGATATTCCAAGGATCATTTATTACTCAATTTTCAAGACCTTACTCCATTGCTAGGAAATCCGATTTCGCGATAATAACTTTGGAAACCCGTTCGTTTCTTTCGGATGACTCAGCTCTGGCCAGCAACTTACGGAATTCGACGTTTCGCCCTGCTCCTACCCCTTTCCTCTTCCTTGAAACTTTCGGATCGTTCCAAGTATTCAGTGCTTCTTTGAAAATTTCAGACATCGTTTTAATTCCTATAGATTCTCGATATCACTTGGTCGTTTCAGTCGAATTCAGTTGACGTGGCTTTATAAATTCCATATTATGCTTCTATATTTTGTGTATACTGTTTGAAGATAAAGAAATAAGGAAGATTCCCTGAGGGAGGGAAAAAAAAGGGTAGGTCTTTGGGAAGTGCGAAGGGAAAAGGTTATCGAAGGGTGAGGTCTAAAATATTCTTTTGAAATCAAAGGAGCCAGTGTTGTATCCAAAATGGAGGGTGCGAATGTTTATTTTGTGAAGCAAAGCAAAGTATCGTTTTAAAGTTGCTTTGTCAAAAAATAGAAAAAGTACGCATCTTGTTTTGCGCGAGTTTTCTGCTCGGTAAACGAGGCAAAGAGCAGGGAAATCCGAGAAAAGCAACCCCGAAATCCTGCCTAATCGCATCACATTAGTCGGAACGGTTAACCGGAGTCCACCCAGTGAATCCGGTTCTGAACAATTGATATTAACGAGCATCACGGTCGACGTAATCGCGAGGAGAAGTTCGCTAGCTTTGTACGCCACGTAATTGTCCGTTAATTCAACGAATCTAACC